GTTGGCAAGGATAATATAGAATACCAGTTGATATTTATAGTTCTGTTAGCTATTAATGAAAAATCCATTAATTTACTAATTAATATTTTTGGCCAAAAATTAACTAATTAATTGGGGGAACATAAAGTGAGCAGGTATTTTTGGCTCCCATGATCCTAATCAGCAGATCTTTCCCGAAAGTAAGGCAGACAGATGTTTTTACCCAACGTAATAGCAGATAAAGGGGGCATTTTTGCTTTATTTGTAACCAAAAAAAGATAAAAATCCTGTCTTCTAGCGAGAGAAGGGATGATAGCAAGTCATGGTGCTAGGATTGCCAGGTAACCCAGACGTACACTGGCGACTCAATAATGATGGTTAAACGTGCACTACTGTTGTGATAGGCCTCTTGTCCTGTCTAAAAAACTAAAATTTACATAACTTACCAATACAGAAAATAATATAAATTCTTTAAAAGGAATATTTTGAGAATAAAATCAATACATTGATATATCAACACATAGTGAAATCTGCATCAAGTCAATATTAGGACTTGTCCTAATCCTTTGTTGATTGAGAGGAATGGAGGGGAAATAGAGAAGTAAGATAGAAAGTTTTTAATTGATTTTTCTTACATCTTCTCTCTACTCAAATTTTATAACTTCATTTGTCCATTTTTATATAAATCAAACTCATTAAAATTTGGGAAGAATTACTCACAAGCCAAACACAACACCCTAAATTATTCCCAGCTCCTATTAATAACTTGAGTATAACAAATTAACATTATATTTCTTGTCAATTTACAATACTCATTTTGTAAATGAATTTTATAGTATTTTAGGGTGTTATGTAGGACCGAAGACTAATTCTCTCTTAAAACTTTTCCTCGCCTTCCATCCCCTCCATTCCGTGGATCCAAACAAAGAGGTAAAGTTCAAATTGAGAATATGTCTTGAAAATCGATAAAATCCATTTTTAAATAAATAAAAAACTAAAAAAAAGAGGATAAAAATTAGTTCAGGTGGCAGTACACACACACACACACACAGGGAGAGAGGGAGGGAGAGAGATGTTTTGATGAAAGCATAAAAAGTCTTACTTGCTGGCTCTTCTTATGCTCCTGAAACATCTCCATGGAGCCTCCCCAAGCTTCTGGGGAATCTAGTGAAAATAATGAGTCTGGATGGACTGCTTATATTGGTTCTCACATTCGCACAGAAACATGCTACAGAGATGATGGAGATGTGAAGAGCGTACACGACGCCGGTAATGATGCCCATAACGATGATGGTGAAAGCGATGATTCCATGGCTTCTGATGCATCTTCTGGTCCAGGTCACCTGCAATATTTAGGCATAAACAGTGAAGGAAGTCATGGCTCTGATCAGTTCACAAAGCATAAAGACAGTGATCGTAAAAGCCTATTCTCAGGCAAGATGCCAAGCAAGCAAGCAAGCAAGAGAAGATATGGAAGGAAAGTTGAAGTAAAAGAAGAGGAGGAGGAGGACGAAGACGACTTGCTGGTGGAAGCCGATAGTGCTGCTAGTAGTCATGTTTGAAAGGCAAGGAAAATGTTCCTTTCTCTTTGAAACTGGTTAAATTAACAGTGTCTTGTCACATAATTTAGCCACCAAAAATAATGACAAGCTAGCCTTTTTTTAGGGGGAAAAAAATATTTATTTAGTTGTTCTGGCTTATTACTGGTCTTTAAAAGGGCATCACATGCAAGGAATTTAACCCCATCCACCATATTTTCCATACCCATCCATTTCACCTGAACTATTCAATTCCTATAATTGCTCATGTATTAACTGTTCTATAACTTTCATTCCTCTAAAGGATAAAAACCAAAAATTGCAGAGTCGTGAATTAGCATCGATTTTTGGATTTAAAATGATTCCTCAAAGCATCAGCTCGAACTTCTTAAAAGCAGATGAAGTTGGGAGGAAATGAGTGTGTCAGTAATTCTTTGATCATATGCTGTGTATCAATGAATTTTGAATCTAAAAAATTCCATTCAAAATGTGCTCGAGCTCTCTTATTTTAGAAGACTGAAATTCTGTTCTGATGATAATAATACTAGTTTGAAGGGTATAAGAATGAGTAATAAACTGGACTTGCACAAGACAACTGCAGAAGAGTAGTTCTTGGAATCATATTAAGCTGGAATAAAAGGAAACAAACAAAAGTACATTGTTAAATTGTGCAGTAATTGCCTGGTCTAGACAGGACCAATAATTGGATCTAGAATAGCTTTTAAATGTTTGCTTTGTGTTGCTATCAGTTAAAAACCAGATCACTCATATTTTAATTGTACTGAAGTGCGAAAACCAAATACCTCGTTGACCATATATCAAGATTTTTTGTGAAGTATTTTTTCACCTAGACAAAGTAAAGGAATCTACAGACCAATCTACAAACAAAAGTACATTGTTAAATTGTGCAGTAATTGCCTGGTCTAGACAGGACCAATAATTGGATCTAGAATAGCTTTTAAATGTTTGCTTTGTGTTGCTATCAGTTAAAAACCAGATCACTCATATTTTAATTGTACTGAAGTGCGAAAACCAGATACCTCGTTGACCATATATCAAGATTTTTTGTGAAGTATTTTTTCACCTAGACAAAGTAAAGGAATCTACAGACCAAGTGCAACTACCGGAAGGTAACAACATCTTTGCAAGCAACTACAATAAATACGTAATAATGAGTAAGACTTCATTTTGTCTTTCACAAATGAGATATTTATTATGCAGTCACTTAAAGAATTATCCTTTTTTTTTTTTAATAACAGAGGTTGGTTCTTCCAAACAAATATCTTCGCGTGTCGCATATTGAATAGCTTCATAATCAAAGAACGGCAATTTAAATTGCCTTTTAGTTTCTTTTTTTCTCCTGATCAAATTCCTTTTCAAGAGGCAACTGCAGGGAATGAGTTTAATTTATCATCACTATTGCTAACCTAACCCTGACATCATCAATACCAAAATCTATCTCTAAAGCAAGCCATCTTTGAAAATTTGGAGAGAGAAATTCAGGAAGTCATTGCAGAAAGTTCTCCGAAGAAGACAAATTCTGAGGTCAGTCAGCTCTTTATAATGCTCGAATAAGAATTGCCTTATATAACAGATTCAAGACATTAATGAGGATAATTCTCTTTCCATGGTAAGCATTGAAACAACTGCACATTGGTAGAAAGAGAACTGCATAAGTGGACAATTGAAGTTATGAGGTATGACTAATCAGAACATGTGTCATAAACTTGGATCTGCAGAAAGCAGCAAAAGCATTTACTGATCTATGGCAAATGAGGGTCAGTGAGTTTAATGTGAGTCGTCATAAGTCATTTTCAACCCTTACAGACAGCCAATCAAAAAATGCTAAGCTATCTGTTGCTTTTTTTTTTTTTTTTTAATTCACACCAGGAGGGGGGTAAATACACGGATATGATGAAGCGGGGAAGCAAAATTTACACCAAAAGCAAAAAACCACATTTACATGTAGTTGTAACCGACAACAAATTCAAGTAAACATCAAGAGTTTTTACATAAGTATTGAACTTTTGGTTCTTGAGTTCTGGCTAATTTCTCAATTTGTTCCTTGTAATTCTTTAAATTTATTTCATCAATGTATAGCCAAAAGATAAAAAAACGAAAAGCATCAATGATTTTTTTTCCCCCTTGAAAAAATAGTTTTTTCCTTCCATCAAGGATAGTCGCGGACTAAATTTTTAATCCGGTCCGCTCTAAAGGGATGAAAAAGACTGAAAAAACATTGAATTGCTAAAGTAAAAAGGTTAACATCTTTTATGGACAAAACATGAACACTTTCTTCCCTAACTACTTGGTTAGAGTAAAGACAAGTAGAATAGAAAGAACAATCACCATGAAATAGATGTTCAAATGTCATGATTGGTCATAAAAGTAGAAAAGTTAGGCAAAAGCTTATGACAAAGAGATAAGCGTGAAACTCAAATCTCGGATCATTCAATACTAAATCTCGCTCATACGTATGAGCACCAAAATACTCCAAGAGCCGGCACCAAATTAGCCAGAAATCTTTTTTTCCTTAAGTGTAAAAGAAAAACAAAGAAAGAAAAGTAATGGAAGAAGATATTACCTCTCCTTTGCAAACTCTGGATCGATAATCTTAAGATGAAATGTCAGGCTTCTGTCATGCGCTTCCTTCAGATAGTCCATAAAGCTCCAATAATGCAACTATTTTACACTCTGGTACTGAAAAATTAATGCAAATATGGTTCATATTTTGACAGTAAAATTTTGTGAATGATTGGTAACAATTTTTCCAATAGACACGTATATGAGCTGCAAACCTTTCACTTGTCACATTTTACAGAAAACATTATATATAAAGAAACTGAACTCGTTTGCAGCTTCAAGTCTCAGTCTTTGTCAATGCTTTTTGGAGGCCCCAACAGACAGCTCAGCAGCAGCTTCTTTGATTGTCCATTTAACTACCTAAACCTTGTCCATATTATTCTTTCGTTCTTTTTTAATTTAAAATACATCTGTGATTTTTTTAGTCAAGAAACTCGTAACTAAACTTTTCTACTATTAAAAATGATATTAGAATCGGATAAGAGTAAAGATGCCAGAGCAACTCAACTACTATGGGTGTTCTTTATTACTTAAGAAAAGAACAACATAATTAGAAATGAGTAGCAATTAGTCATTAGATCAAAAAGAAGAGTCAGAAAAGTTAAACTGTATACGTCCTCAATTTGAAACTAGCGGCATATTCAATCACATAACTTAGATGATTGAATTAAGATTCAGTCTCACACAAAGCTAAACCATACTTAATGTCAATTTAATTGTTAAGACAAATTTAAATATCTTCAACAAAAATATTTTTTCATAAAGTTTTGAACGTACAAATAAAAATTTTCTAAAGTAGAATACAAAACAAAAGTAAGTGAACGAGTGGGGCCACCAACTTCCCGCCAATCAGTGTACACACGTACCAACGGTATTATCTTCACAAATGCTCATTCACAGCCACAACTTGCACAATAACACCGAACTAGCTTCTTCGAATTCACGGCTTTACCTTATTCCTAATCCGATACCACAGAACAAGGATCAAAGCCCCCAAGCTTCAATGATGAACTTACGCGCCATCTTCGCCACTCCTGTCCCTTCCTCACTCCGCATCAAACCCTCAATTCACCATCCCCGTAGAAGCCTCACCATCTCAGCTCAACTCCCGACCGCCGCCGCCGCGAAGTTCTCGGTCTCCGACGAAACCCTAGAATCCCGCGGCTTCCTCCTCCGCCGCACCACCGACGACCTGAACCTTGACCAGCTCAACGCCATCTTCGTAGCGGTTGGGTTCCCGAAACGTGATCCGCAAAAGATCCGGATCGCGCTGGATAACACGGAGACGGTGCTGTGGGTAGAGTACAAGAAGACGAAAAAGCCAGTGGCGTTCGCGAGAGCGACGGGAGACGGTGTATTCAACGCAATCATATGGGACGTGGTGGTGGATCCGTCGTTCCAAGGGATCGGATTGGGGAAGGCGGTGATGGAGCGGTTGATCGAAGAGTTGTTAGGGAAGGGGATTTGTAACATCGCGCTTTATTCGGAGCCCCGAGTTCTCGGGTTCTACAGACCGTTGGGATTTGTGGCCGATCCGGATGGGATCCGAGGAATGGTGTATTCTAGAAAGCAGAAAAAGAAAAAATAGCAATGACATTATTATTATTTATTCTTTGAATAATTTTTTCCCCTTGATGAATTTCTTCTCCATTAAATTAATTATAAGTCAATCCTTTTATATAGACATAAATTATAAACAATGGTTGATTGTTGAATTTATTTAGTCGGTGTAAATTGTAATTTTATTTTCATAGTACAAATTAAGTAAATAACAAGATTTTAAATATGATAAGAGTTAGTTTAACTAATTCATTCCAATCAACTTCTATAGGTCTTTTTATCAAATAAATATGCCTTTATGTATTCAAATATAATTTTATGTTGATAATAATGCATTCAAAATTAGTATCAATGTCCTTAAAGTGCAAAAAATGACACTAGTTGAGCAATTAGCCAGCATTTATGTTAGTAGATTTGGATTTTAAATCCATATATTTAAAATTCTTTATTTAGATAGTTCATATGACAAAAGTTATTACTATTGTATAGTGTGATAGTGTTTTAGGGAGTGGCTCTCACTTGAGCCTAAGTTTTCTCTTTAGGAAAAATTTGTTCATCACCTCTAATGATAATTAGTAAAGAGTGTCTCCTTTATGCCTTATCACCCACTGCAGTAGTGATATAGTGTGAGTATTTGTGTGATTTGTCTTCTTTCTTTTTTTCCTCCTTTCTTCTACTTATTTTCTTTGTTTTGTCTTATTTGTTAGGGTTTTATAGGTTTGGCTGATGCATTTGAATCATGGCTGAAAGGAGGGAAAACTCTTGAGGGTTAAAGACGAAGATGAACCTTGTCTGGAAATTGCCAAAAAATTCCATTTAAGCTAGTGGTGCTTTGATTGGAAAGATTTTAATGGAGAGAAAACATAACCATTCAACAATTATCTACATAACTCAAAATAGATAGGGTTTGAAGGAAGGTTAAGATATTGATGCCATTGATACCAAATTGCCCAACTTGTCTATTTTCTGATTTAAAACTTTGGAGAATAGGGAACGAGTCTTACAAGGCCAACCATGGATGGTTCATACTTGTATTATTAACTTACAATTGTGGGATGACTTTATGACTATTGATGATGTTGTTTTTCATCTTGTTCCTTTTTGGGTTCAGTTTCATAATCTTCCTACTCTTTTCCTAGAAAATGCTATTCAAATGGGGGCTCTAGTTAGTGATTAGTTTAGATTGAACACCCTGAGTTTCATGGCAAGTTTTATCAAAATTTTCTTCAGGTTTGTATGCTTGTTGATGTGACTAAGCCTTTTCTCCCACATGTTGGGTCTTCGAAAGGCTTTAAAGTTTCTACTATGATTGTGGGATGATTGGTCATGATAGTAGGCAATATAAAAATCCTACCCTTATCCTTAATGAAAATGAGGAGAAATACGGATATGGGCTCTGGCTATCAATTATGGTTGGAAAGCTAATCAATGCTACTTTGGTTAAGAATGATCAAGGATGGTCGAAGGAAGATAGCCAGTGGAAGATGGTGGCACATGGACATTCTAAATGTGATTGGCACATCACTGATGAATCTAAAAACCATCATATGAATAGTAGTGCTTGGTTGTCTGACATGACGAGGCACAAGAGGCATGATGAGGAGGAGAGTACGTTAATGAGAAGGCAAAGCAAAAGTGGACAAAACTTTTTAGTCCTATCTTTGGTTCTCGTTATTCAGAAGCCCAACTCATCTTCTACTATTAATAAAGCTCAACTAGACTAGATTTCTGATAAGGGTCCCCAAACTTCTCCTACTTCATCTCCTAGGCCCAATAATGATCTATCAAGCCAAAATAATTTGAATACCCTTTTGAAGATGTGTTAAGGTGTTATAAAGCCCATGTGACTATCTTCCTTCTATTCACTCTGATAACATGGCACCTTCTCAAATTATGGTTCCTTTTGCTCTATTATCCCTTTTGTCGAAAGTTTCTTTAAAGCTTTGCAATATTGATCTAAAAAGCATATATGAAAATACTCCTCTTAATGACTTACCCAAAAGAAGGAGACTATTTTCTAAGGCTCCCAAGGCTGATTCAAAACTATGTAAAGCCTCCTCAACACTTAAGATAGACAAAAGAAAGATTTGTCAAGCGGAAAGGCATCCAAGTAGAGTCAAGAAAAAGGATGCTCATGATTCACAAAAGGAAAAGGACACACCTACAAGTAATGACACTCTTATTGATTTTCCTATTTTCAGTTGAAATTGATTTCTTATAGGAATAGTTTAAGTTTAATGCTACCCCTGAAGGATCTAATGTCTCTTCAAATGCTAAAGGCATTTGTGGCTTGCCCCAAAAGGCCACCAGGGAGCCATGAATCTACTATGGTGGAACTGTTTACGGACTTAGAATGACTCTGGCAATCAAAAATCTCAAGGAGGTAATTTCAATAATAAGCCATTTGTTTTTTTTTCTCATGACAATGAGGTAGCATGTATTAAGACTAAAAAATTTAAAAAGGTATAGTATGGTAAATTCCAAGTATGTGGATCCTATTTGTCTATCAAAAGGGTTGGTACTCTGGTTGACCAATAAAGTTACTATTCATATTCTCATTTCCTATAAGAATTTTATACATGTTCATCTTAACTCTTCTTTATAGGCTACCCTTGAGTTTGTCACTTTTATCTATGACCCTCCAATTGAAGCAAATAAGAGTTATTTGGAGTGAGACTAGTTTACTTGTGAGACACATTAAGGAAGCTTGGCTTTGCATTGATTTTAATGATTTCCTTTCTCTTACTGAAAAGTTTGGTGGTGATCCTCAAGTTGTTAGAAGAATCCTAATTTTCAGAGCTTTATTTCTTACTGTGACTTGTTTGACCTTGAAACCAAAAGGTCTTGCTTCACATGGTGTAACCAGAAGATAGATGATGAATGTATTAAAGAGTGAATTGATTGGGCTATGGCTAACTATATTTTTAAAGTTAAATTCCCAAAAGCGCTTTCATTCCATATTGACTTTATTGCTTTTAACCACCACTTCATCTTAGTTAGTCTCTACTATAGTAACACATATACTCCAAAAACCTTCGAGTATGAAATTTTTTGGGCTTCCCATCCTAAATTTAAAAGTCTTGTCTAGAAATCTTGGTGTATTTAGAAATTTTTTGCTGAATTTATTGTTCCTCAATTTGTCACTTGCACTAAGAGGTACAGCAAGGAACTTGTATTTTAGAGTAAAAAGACTAACCCTAACCATAGAAAAGTAATTGATAGCCTACTAAGGAAGATTGAAGATTGTAAAAAAGGGCCCTATACATTTGATAGCAAGCATAGGGTGCAATCTCTCACTTTAGACTTAGAAAGAGTTTGGCAATAAGAAGAGTTATACTGGTGGTAGTACTTCTGAGTTAATTGGGTCTTAGTCGGGGACATGAACACTCCGTTCTTTCATGCTTCAACTATGATTCAAAGACAGCGTAACTAGATTATACATCTTAGAGATGGTAATTGGTAGTGGATTGAATTTGATAATGACATGGCATACTTAATTTTTGGTTTCTATTATGATCTTTTCCCAAAAAGTGATACTAGTAATCTAGGATATGTTTTAAGTTATGCAACTCCTCAAATCTTGGATGTTCATAATAGTTGGCTAGTCTCTCCTGTTGCTAAAGAGGAACTTGAGCAAGCTATTTTTCAACTAGGTGCCATAAAAGCCCTTTGCCCTGATGGCTTCAATGGTCATTTTTACCAATCCTCTTGGATGAGGTTAGTGACTCTCTACTACTACTAGTTAATAATGCCTTATTTAAGGATGAACCATTAGCAATCTTGAATTTTACTAATATAGTCCTTATTCTTAAAGTTGATTGCCTGAAGATGGTTACTTAATTTAGGCCCACAAGTCTTTGCAACTTTGCTTTTAAAGTCATCTCTAAGATACTAACCAATCGTTTTAAGGGGGTCTTAAATGATTGTGTTTCCTCTAACCAACATGCTTTTGTCTAAGGGATACTAATTCATGATAACATCACATTGGTCTATGAAATTTTTCATTATTTGAAATTGAAGAATTCTAGTCATGACTATGAATTTGCCTTTAGAATGGATATGAATAAAGCATTATAGAGCTTTATTGAGGCTGTCTTACTCAAGATGGGGTTTAGTGTCATTTGGGTTAGATGGATAATGAAATGTGTCAAATGCTTGATGTTTAATATTCTTGTGTTAGGAAAATCTATACCAAGTATCATACCTAAAAGAGATGTGAGACAAAGGGATCTTCTTTCCTCATATTTGTTTATTATTGCTAGTAAAGTTTTGTCGTTGATGCTGAGTACTCATTCTGCTAATGGTGATATCTAAGGCATTCAAGTTGCTGAAGGATGCCATATGCTCGCCTACTGTCTCTTGTTGATGACACCATGCTTTTCCTTAAAGTTGGTAGACATAATTGTAAAGCCGGTAATTCGGGCCAAACTTAACTGGCCAGCCTAAGAAAAGTTAGAGTTAGGCTTAGCTATATGAGCTTTTTTAAGAGGGTAAGATGCTTTAAACTTGACTTGAATTGAGCCTGATCAGAATAAGGCCAACTGTTAGAATTTCTCGCCCTATATGTATATAGAGTTGGTAATTTTGGCTATGCCCGAACTCAACCTAAAAAAGTTAAAGCCGAGCTTGGCTACATGGACTTTTTCAAGAGGATAGAATACTTTAAGCTTGATTCAAATAAACTCGGCTTGAATTGATCTCAGTCCGAATAAGCCTGGCTCGTCTAAATTACCGGCTATATAATTGTAATGTTGTTAAGGAAATTCTTCACTCTTACTATAATGCTTCTAGCCAAAAGGTGAACTTTGATAAATCATCTTGTTCTTCTCTGCTAATACATCCTGGTGCAAGACATTCAAACTTTATCAAGTTTTCATCAGAGAGTTATTAGCTTAGTATAATCACCTTGAAATGAAAGGAAAATAATATTGAAAGTATATGAGTGAATGTGTGTGTAACTTAAAAGTTAAATAAAAGAAAAACTCTTACATCATTGCTTGAAAATTACCAACTATTTACAAGAACTGTAAAAAAAAAATCTTTACTAATATTTACATTCCATCAAAAGATATATATATATATATATATATATAACTTTAATTCCTTGCTTCTTCTTTCCTTGCCCATCTACTGTTTGACTTGTAACACAAAATTCTTAAAAAACCAAAATACAAGTGAAATGAAAATTCTAGTATTTTAATGAATTAAATTATTAACATATAACCAACACCATAACACAATTGTTTAGAAGAAATAAGTAAGGAAGTACAAAAGAAAAACCGTTTATACACAAAATGGATTGCATCAACAATCCTGCTAATAGAATAGCATCAACGACTCAACTGAATTGCATCAATGATTTCTATAACTAGGCATCAACTAAGGTTCTTATTACTAGATAAATCTCATCTACTAATGTTATTTAACTGTTTATTATATGACTAAATACATATATCTACAACTTCACATTTCATAAATACAAGTAATCCTCATGAATGTAATGTAAACTTCTACGGTTGCAATGAGTTTGGTAAATAATCATCAATATTAAAAGATCCAATAATAAAGCTTATTACCTTTTTCTTCTCAAAATACTTCACGAGCTTCCACAACAATCCACTAATCCTTCTTGCTATTAAGAAAATAAGTTTGGCAACACATAAATGAACAACGAGGCACTTAAAATAATAGTAACTTAGAACATATCTTAAAAAAATCTCTACTATTACTTAGCTGATAGAGATTTAAAATTTTCAATTGAGACAATACTAATGCTTGCACTTGATCAAGAACTAGAGCAATGATAGCAAAAATGATAAAAATAAATAACCAAGTTTTATGATGTTTAATTCCTAAGACAAAATTTTGCAAAATCATTTAGAAACTTTATCGTACTTAAAATATCATCCGATTTATTGCGATAATGTCTCCCTAGTTTGTTATTACCTGTCAAATTTCTTCTTATATTCCTTAATATAACCACTCAAATATATCAATATTAGCCACCTTGCTTAACAACTACGGCTCATACTTCAGTGTTTTTAAATTTACCACAACATAATACCAACATAAGAGAAAATTATCAATTCCTAGATATAACAAAACCTCAAGTATAGAAAGCAAACCACAAATTCTACATGCAAACATTAGGGGCAACACATGGAACTATTTCTTACCCATTTACTTTGCTATTAGCCAACACAGTAAAGAAAAAAATAATTAAAAAAAACATCATAAGGGAATAATCTCCCAAATAACAAAACAAACAAGCACAAAATATATAGTTTATTTTTTTAACCAAAATTTCAAGTTAAAAAAAATTAATACAAATACTCAATCTGATATTCTATCCATCTATATTTCCAATCACAATTTTGCTTTTTCATTTTTTATTGGCCTTTTAAAGTAACTCCAAAAAAAATGCAAAATCCTTCGCCCCAAAATCCAAGCATTTATTTTCTTAAAATAATTCTAAATAGAAACCTCAAATCCTATACCATATTTAAGAGCCCAAAACCCTTCTTTTCCTACCAAGAACACAGGGAAAGTATTGTCCATAATTTGCAAAATCATAATAAGCCTTGAATCAACTTTGTTTTCTTGTGTGTTGCGGAAAAGTAGAGAAGGTGAGAGCACAAAATTTTGAAAAACATACCTAAGAAATTTCAACCCCAGATGCCATGCCACGGAAGGGAAAGAAAGAGGAAATGAAAGCCATAGTTCATTCTTTTCTCCGCCTCTGTCACGCAAAGGGTGATGGAAGAGGCAAGGTTTTTGTGCATTACAATAAAAAATGAATATAATAAGTTAATGTGCTAAAATTACTCTAATAGACCCCACTGCCTCAATAGATTTAAAAGATGATCATTACATTATATAAAACATATTCTTAGTTTTATTTTGGGATAATTTATTTATTATTTTTATTTTTTTAGGAAATTAATTAAATCCTAATCAATAATCAAAAATAAAATTTTGAGATGTGACACTTTGTATATCAAGGAGAAGGTTTTTTCCTTTCTTAATGTTATTGCTGTTGATAATCTTGTTGTCTATTTTGGTTTACTTATTCTGTGGGATCGATCTAAAGTTGCGGCCCTAACCCATGTTAGGGATAAAGTTGGTCAACAAGTCCACGGATGGAAAAGCAAATTGTTAACTTTTGATTTTTGCTAGCCACGGGATTATGATTAAATCAATCATAAACACCATTCTTATTTTTCCCATGACTTGTTTCAAATTTCCTAAACGTACTTGTACTCAACTCGATAGTCTTGTTGCAAAGTTCTTTTGGGATAGATTGATGTTAAAAAAGGAATACACTGGTGCTCTTGGAGCAAGCTTTGCGCACCCAAGCAAGATGGCGGACTTGGATTTTATGAGTTTCAATAATGCTTTACTAGCCAAAACTGCTTGGAGAATACTCAATAACCCGAATCATTTATGGGTTCAACTACTTAAATTAGTTTATTTTCCCTCTAAATCTTTCCTACGTGCTTATGCATCTTGGGCTTGGAATAGCTTTTTGACTGGCTGAGATGTATTGTTAAAAACATATTCTGCAAAATTGGTAGTGGCCAAGACATTTTTGGTTGGAAGGATCCTTGGGTTAATGGTATTTCTGATTTCAAAGCTGTAAAACTTGAAGGTGTTGCAATTAATCGCCACCTCAAAGTTGCTGACTTAATTGTGAATGGTAGCTGGGATTTGTCTTCTGTATCTTATGCCATGACTGATGAAATTGTTTATTGCATTGAGCATATGCATGTTCCTCTCAATGTGCCTGCTGATAGGGTTGTTTGGATAGGTGCAAAGAATGGAATTTATTCTCCCAAGGTGGGGTTACTGGGTCATTTATGCTAGCTCTCGCCCAATAGATCCATCTAGTCCAAGCACCACTTCTGCTATTACCCAAGAACTCTGGAAGAGTATCTAGAACTTGAAAATCTTCCCCAAAGTTAAGCACTTTCGGTGGTGAACACTTAATCGTGCTCTGGCAACAAAAGAGGCTCTCGTTGCCCATAAGTGCTCTCTGGATCCCATTTGTCCAATTTGTAAATCTTAATCCAGAAACAATTGAATAAATGTTACTTCTCTGTGATTGGGTAAGGAAAATTTGGTTCGGCTGTCCCTTATCAGACCCCTGCATATTTCTTCATTTGGAAACTGGTGCTCTACTTTTTTGCTATCTAATAGCCCCCTTGATGATTTTGGTAAATCATATATACATTTACTTTGCTGGAACATATGGAAAATCAAGTCTGTAAAGGTTTTCTCGGTTGCTAAATTGAATCCAATCAAGATTTGCTGAATTTTGGCTAATCAACTGTCAAGAAGAGCTTCTGGGGATTTCTCATCCCATTTTCCCAATGCATTCAGTGGTCGCCTCCTAATAGGGAAGCATCAAAATAAACTGTGACAATGCAGGCTCATCTACCTCTGGGTGTGCAACGATTGGGATATTATGTCGTGGCCATTTGGGAGATTTTATCAAGGGTTGGAAGGAGAGAGTTCTTTCTCCTTCTAGCTTTATGTTTGAGTTCCTTGCTTTTAAGAAAGCTTTACAAATTGCTGTTGATGTTGAGAACGCTAGTGTCATTGTTGAAATGGATTGCTTAGAGCTCTATCGAGTTGTCACCTGTCTTGACGTCACCTACTGCCATTAGTCTTATCACAGTATACTTGAAGAATTGTTTACCAACATTCATTTGAGTCCTTCTGTTTCCTTCTCTTTTGTTAAGAGAGAAGGTAAATTTGCTGCTGATTGGCCAGCAGCCTCTTCCTTTAAGCATGTGAAACCTTCAGGTTGGATTCTTCATCCTCCACTCCCTCTGACTACTATTTTGGCCAAGGACTCAAATATTGCTGTTGATTTTTCTCCTCAACTAATGCTTAACAGAGATAGGGAAGGCATTGGATGATTTTTTTTTTGCTTTGGGTTAGTTGGTTTTCTATTTAGGCCTTTGCCCTGTGTGGCTTATTGCTGTTGCGTTTGTCTTTGTTTATCTCTCACTCTGTTAGATGACTAACTTCCTTTAATGGATGAATCCTTCCTCGATCGAAAAACCAAAGATAATGTTTTGGGGGTGCATGTGAAAATTTGAAATAACAAAAGTTTAGAAAATATTTGAAATTATGAAGGAGTTAAAATAAAATTTGGATTTGAATTTTATCTAAATCCATAAATTTTTTAATGTCCAAATAAGAGTTAATCCAAATTTAAATCCATATATATCCAAGCACAGCATTTTCTTTATTTAAAGACTTGAATTGCATGATTTCTCCACCAAAACTCCACCAAAAGACATTCAGCTACATGGATGGCATAATATTATTGTTTTCTATCAACAATCAAACCTTTAAGAAATATTATGAATTAAAAACTATTGTTCAACAACTTTATTAAATAAATCGGCCTGAATATATATGCAGTGAATGAATATATAGCAAGGGTAATAAGTTGATGCAAGTGTAGATTCTACATCAAAATATATATTTCTGAACATATTCATTTGATATTCATAGTGAATGATCTTACAAGAGAGGGAGAGAAATAAAATCTGACCAGTGAACTTTATTGACTAATATATGTTGAACAGAGACTACATTGCTACTAAAGGAAGCAATATTACATCCTTAAATTTTTCAAAGAATCTGATGTTAACAACAACATGGCTCCATTCTGATAATGAAAGGGCGGAATTCCTGTGACCAAATTGAGCACGTTGATCAACCACATCTGATCCAAATACAAAAATTAATATCTGAGCCAAACATTTTAGAGAGGCTACCAAGAGAAACTATGGAATAGTACAACAGTATCAAAGCCAGATGCACTAATTAAAACAACCACACAGAATTGAAACAAAATAGCCAAATGGCCTTCTAAAATAATGGCACATAAGCTCCCTTATAAGTGGGATATCGCCGGTTCAATTCCGCTCATAATTTCAGGCTATTAGTGCCAGCCCCTCTAATTTTTTTTTTTAAAAAAAATTGAAACAGAATGCGAAATTATGCAGATTCTTAGTACTTTCTGATATAGTTTTGCGTGTGTCAAAAAATAAATAAATAAATTCCACATTGTTCAAATGAGGAGCTATATACTAAGGAGCAGCCGGTTGCTGCATTCAACATGTATGGGGGAATAATTCTTAAAACAATGTCCTTAGGCATAAGGCTACAAAAGCTTTCTACAATTTTACAGTTTTGGTTCATGGCACATCATCTGTTTGAATTTAAAAACCTCACTATCAAATCTCAGGACAATTCAGTAAAGATGGTATTTTCTACTTTATAACTAGTGTGCGTTCAACAAGAGGGAGTGCTTGTAATATGAAAATATCCTCAAGGGCTTATCTCTGCTATTTAAGATAGACATTCTCACAAAAGAAAGATCCATAAAGATAGCAACTGTCTGTATCTACACAAACTCAAAAAAGATATACACATTATTATCCAATGAAACAAATATCCAGAAACAAAAGAGCATAAGTATGAATTCTATGATTAGGAGTATTTCAGGTATATTCACATTCCCAATGACAAGCAGCCGAAAATCTAAAGGCATGAAGAAATTGTAGGAAGTCCAGATCGTTTGCATTTAATGAAGGAACCAAATGCAAAGCTACAATTCAGAGCAGGCTCTGAAAGCTATTCATCTGATGCAGTTCTGGAATCCAGACAATAATTACAGGAGTGCCTATGAGTTCATGAATGGACCCATCATGTGAGAGAGAATTAATGCACAGTCCTGATTGTGTAAACAATACTAAGCTAAATGTGGAAGAATATGGCAATACCAAGGAGGCAGCTAGACATTTTGTATGCACTAACGGTTTCATGTGACTTCTAACTAAAAATTTAAGAGCAGGCTTCACTTCTAAAATGTACTGCTTTCTGTCATGCTCTAGTGGCTAAGATAATCCCAATCAACCCCTCTCAATGTGGAAGAACAGATAATTACCATTTATATCAGAGCGAATGGTTATCTGGGTGGTTCTTCAGAAAATGTACAGGTAAGAAATTTCTTGTTATGTGCTTACTTAAACATGAATAAATAAATTACATCTTCTACCAAGATATTCACTCGAAACAGAGGCCTTTTTGCTATTCAGGAACAGATGAAACTATGTTTACTTTGCCAACACATCTTTTAGAAGTGTATACTTTCCACGATACGAATGAAGCAGTGTTTTCTCTCCCGTTCATTTTGTGACTCAAACACCAGGTGTCAATCTTTCTAAAAGGCAGTTTTATCATGATGGAATTGTCAGAATCATTGCCCTGCCCTCCCCAAATCTCCTTCCTTTTTCTCTGCACAGAAACTCTTACCCCGTCCTTAAGTTAGCAAAGAGCAAGTGTGAGTAGAAGGAAAACTGATTCTTCACTAAACATAGCTGATGGTTCAGAAATGTTAAACACAAATTTCAAAAACCACACCGTTTCTTGCAGTGATGAAGAGTTCTATTATAAGCACAAACATGGGCAGTAAAAGTTAGACCATGGCGTGTGACATGTAAATCAAGACACTTACAAAGCTAAGAAGGATTGAAAATTGACAAAGTGCTTAGAGTTTAGTACACCACAAGAGGAGGTTACATCAAGAAAACTGCTTGACAATATTATTATCATCAAGTTGGGCATCAATATAATGACAGTATAGGGCAAATAGCAGGATAGTTTAACTCTGGCAGTAGATAAGCTTATAGCATGTTAAGCATATTCTAGAATTTCTATCTTGCATGATCACCCAAACAAAACATTTTTGGCCATTTAAGTACACAAAATTGGATTTCAATTGCAAGCCATGTCTGGCCCAAAAAAGAAAAAAAAATAGTCATAAAGATCGATGCACGGTTCAAATTAACCAAATATGATTGATTCAACAGTGATGCACTTTGCCTAAGCATATGAGAATTCCACACGGAAGTAATCATAGGCAAGAAATTCACTGGACCCTATATTATATATGATGATCACTTTAGTCTTCAGATTAATAACATACAATTAGATCATTGCAAGTGCACCTCGCTTAAGCATATAAGAAATCCACAGAGGTATGGGCAATAATCACTGGACTTGTAGGCTAAACTTTCTCAAATGTATGGGTGCACTTTTGCTTAACATATCAGAAATCCACAGAGGTGATCAATTCATGAGTAGCGAATGCACCGGACCCTAAATAAATCATCTAAACCAATCAGAGAAAAGATTATAAGGATACTACAACTGGTAATATCAAAGTTCGAGCTCTATTTAAAACAATATCAAAACTCACGCAGATATTAGATTGAGTGTGTTACTGTATACCAATAATGCAAGGATTTAGGATAGGTCCTTGGAATTGAGGAAGAATGCAGCAGAGCATAGAATTGAAGCAATGAAAGCAAAAATTCCCAAACCAATCATCAGGGAACCCCAGCCACCACGAGATCCAACATGCCCAGCACGCTCAAACCCATCATCGTCATCATTATTTCCCTCTTATTACTGAACTTGAATAACTCAGTGGGTCAAACAAGAAATTTCGACAGATGGGAAGCAGGAAACGGAGCAATTTTAACGACAAAGAAAGTTAGTGAGGATGAGACATGGTAGATCTTCCGGTGTCAGTACACAATGATGCTATAAGAGAAGAGAATCGAGACAGAAAGAAGAGCGGTGAATGTCAGAACCGCTGAAGAGAGAAGACATGAAATTTCCTCGATTTTGGATCGTTGGAAAGCAGAAAAGCTACTAACAGTTTATGGGGAACAGAGAATCGTTCTGAACTTCGATGCAAGAGGTGACATGTCCATTACTACAGGGGCAATACGACACTTCGAATCAAAAGCAGGATAGAAATGAATGATACTAGGAACCAAAATTTTAAAATGCGATTACGACCTTCATCAAGCTGCTATTTGACATCTGGTCACAAAAAAAAAAAAAAAAAGCTGCTATTTGACATATTCGTCCAAATCCAACTGTATAAGTTTGAGGTGTTTGGTTTTTACGTCAAGTCAAAAATTAATTTGATAAAAATTCAATTAGTAAAAATTGTTTAATTATATATAATGAGATGTACTTAATGCACTATTGTTAAAAAAAAAGCATTGATTTATAATAATTTGTAATTAAAAACTTTAAATCATTAAAATTTCAATAATAAATTAAAGTTTTTATTTGTAATTAAAAATATATGAGCTTAAAATTAATAAAAGACACTATTAAAATTATTATTATTATATGTTGGGACTATTATTAATCTCAGTTGAAAAAAACTAGAATTCATACTTGCGAATGAGATTAACAATAATCCTAATTCAAAATAGTAATTTCATATTATCAATTCATAACACTTGGAATTTTAGTTTTCTAATTAAGATTAACAATAATCTCAATCTATTATAGTAATTCTAATAGTATGTTTTCTTAATTTTTTAAGTAATTTACCTATATAATGACAAATATAAAAATTCACAAGTAATTAATTTCATATTCAAAAGTGATTTTACTAAATTTTCAAGTAATAACCACATATCTACAAGTGCCTTTCAAATATTTTCACAAGTTAATTTTAATTTCATATTGAGAATAACACATTTTCAAGTGTAGATCCTACTTTTCTTAACTGATATTAGCAATAGTTTCAATCCATAATAATAATATATTAACAAGCATAAAAATTCATAAATAATTGATTTTATATTCAAAAGTGACTTGGATAAATTTTCAAGTAATAATCATATATTTACAAGTGCTTTTTAAAAGTTTTACAAGTAAATTTTAGCTTGACATTGGGAAACAATACATTTTTAAGTGTGGATCTTGCTTTTTCTAACTAAGATTAACAATAATTTCAATCCATAACAGTGATTTTAGCAGTATCTTTTCTTAATTTTAAACTTATTTGTTTTTAATTCCAAGGGAGGACAATGATCAATTGGGATTTCAATAATTCAGGATCCCTAATTATAATTAATAGGCTTATAGGGTTCTTAATTGCCATTTTTCCTAATTTTTTTAACATCATTGTTGTTGAATAATATAAATAATACAAAAAATTTATGTTGGATAATATAAATAATAAAGATGCATAAATAATTTTGAAATATTAAAAGATATATAAAAATATTTTTTTAATATGATTGTTATTGAGCTCTTTTTTTTTTGACCAACTTCTTGACCTCTTATTAACTGATTAAACTTTAAAGTACTTTTTATATTATTTTTCATTTTAACAAAAAAAAGAGCCATCAGTAAAGGCTGAACTTATTAATTACTCACAATTTTTTTATAAAAAAATAGATACATTAGTAAAGGTTAAATCGGTCAAGAACAAGGATAATTTATGAACTTAATCTAAACTAGTTTTTCTGAATACAAAAATAACTTTAGTGTGCTTTTATAAAATGGACTTTCAACAATATTTGGATGTGCATTGAGAAAGTATTTTTATAAAATGGACTTTCAACAATATTCGGACTTTCAACAATAACATTTGGTTTTAGAAAATGCTTTCTACATTCCAAAAGCTAAAGGTAGGGAATCTAAATAGACCCTTAATTAAATTATATTTTTAGTGAGCTAGTTAATTATCTTTATAGTTACATACTCTTTCCTTATTTTTTTTATTTAACAAGATATCTCAATTAAAAAAATTTACTAATTACATTCTTAATTAAGAGTAATAATTTTAGAAAAATCCTATTAATTGAAGCTTAAAATACTTAAAACATCTTTTTTTTTTAGGACAAGGGATAAAAATGTTTAGAAATTTTTTTAGAGCGTTTAATATGAAAAATTTGTTTTCGTGACAAATGACATGATGATATTAACTTTGACCATTAGATATTTTTTTTGACTAATAAATGCACACGTGGCAAGTTTAAAACGTTGAGTCAGATGTACCCTATCATCTTCACTGGCTCCATTCATAAGCGGAAGGAGAAGTGGGTTCGCGTCTCTCTCCCTTCCTCCTTCTCCAAGGCGTAGGTCCCAAAGCCAGAACGAACTTAAAGCCATCAATAACCCTCTTGGTGCTGTCATTATTGTGTTGGAACAGACAAACCATACTCAACAACACTAAGTCCCTCCGAAAGTTTCTCAGAAAGTGTATGGAATAGATGAACCCAAGTGCAAACAACTTAAACCAAATTGATCACTATCGACCAAATTGAAATAGGATGAATTAGTCACAACACCACACCACACCATATTCGATCAATGAGAAACAATTTACTAGGGAGCAAGGAGAATGGAGAAGAAGGAGAAGAGGTGGACTAAGATTTGGGATTGAAACAGATATGGAAGATGAAGCAGAGGGATAGCATTAAAGCATGGTGAGGACGTTGAGGGGGGAGAGAAGGCCATGATGGGGAAGGTATTTTGGTCATTGCATGTCTAATTAAACTTATTCACACTTTAAAAACTTAGGACTGCATAAACATTTTTATATTTTATGGGAATTTGAAGTATTTAGTTAGTTTCTATGGGTTTTATGAGTGATTTTCTCTTTTAACTTTTTTTAACATCCATATACTCCCTTATATTTTTTATTTACTCTTTATAGCATTTATTATTATTATTATTATTTTCTAAAAATTTAATTCAAAATTTTATCCTACGTTAAACTACCAATTATCTCATAATTAATTTCTTCTTAAATTTTATTAATTCTAATTAATTTAAAAATTTAAATTGAGATATTACAATTTTTTCCTCCAACTAGTTGATAAGGATTATCTGGCATCGACTAAGTTATTTAAACGAAGAAATGTTACACTTATGTTAAATATATGGACATTGACCATTTAGTAAAAAGTGAGAGAATGTAGTTTGACTTTCAATTGCATACGTGGCATGCCACGTGGATTTGAGTCATATCTCTCCCTGGTAAAACCCTGTTTCGGAGTTTTAGCCTTTCCTTGCCATCTGTTATTGGAAGGTGATTTAATTTGCCAAATCAAAAATTGCACTTGGCCTCCAGTGTTCAGGATGTACCCACTCGATGGATTTAAAGATTGCTCAAGACCCACACTCGATCTCAGGAAGCAAATAAACCAAGATCCGATTGAAGACCCGGAACGAGAGAAGGATATATAAGAAGAAACCAGTTCTGCACAACTTCTTGCTCATCCATGTCCTAGCTACTTATGTTGCTGTTGCCGTCATCATCGACAACGTCGTAATTAGGCTGGTCATCAGGAATTGCTTGCCTCGTTGTCGCTGAGTATATGAGACAGACAGTAGATGAAAGACAACGAAGCGTTCTCACAGGCCACAAAGCCACACTTTATGGCGGGGCCAACAAGGAGACCCCAATGTGTGAATTTGTCCATTGTAAGAAGAACATAGGTATGTTGAATCAAGGTGGCAATACAACATTGAAGCTTATCCAATTACTGGGGTAGCCACCACCATAGCCCATTTTCATCGTTCTAGGCTAAAGCTTAATTTTTTTTGGAGTTGGGTATCTTTTTTTTTTTTTTTAATGGTTCATGTATTGAGTGAGTAAGCAAGCCAGCCAATAATGTAAGTAAAGTTACAAAAAATAGAGAAGAGAACCCAAAAAGTGAAAAGCATTCAAGGTTTTCTGTTGTCGAGAAAGATTGGTCTATGATAATCTCGTGGTTAATTAGTGAGTGGGTGTGTGCTCCTTGCTTTTTGCTCTCAAATCTTTCGAAATACAAAGAGGCAAGTTTCGATTTAGAAACTTCAATCTTCTTCAGGTGAGAGATGGTGAGGCGAGGCTGAATTTGAAAGTGGGCTTTGCGAGGGAGTGTCGTGACAAGCCACATTTGCTATAAAAAGTCAGCCTACACCCTCTCACTTCATGCTTAACAGTCACGTCAATGCGTTTAATGTTAGGGATACCATTGCTCTTTTTTGATAACTTTGCGGGAAACATTACTACATTTGAGAGCTTAGGATGCTAGGTAATCATCCATGAATAGTTAGAGGGAAAAAAAGATACCCTTTAACCCTAAGGAAAATACCACTATCAAATTTGAGAAATGAGGATAAACTGAGATGAAGAAGAAAGAAAAAAGAATAATGGCATTTAAGCTCATCTCAAGAGAATTTATCACAATAAAAATTCATCAATTTTATATTGGATATATATTATCTTGTAAAAAATATGTATATATTATTGTTAAAAGTTGAACCTTAATTTGTATTTTTTGTTAATGGTTTAGAGTTTTGATAACAAGTTAAGGTTCAATTTTTAATAATAATATATACATGTTTTTTTAATAGAAGGCACGGATAAACCATGTCAAATGACAGGTTGTGTCATGTCAGCATACAAAAGATTTCTACACCCAAAAGGTAAGGTATAAAAAATATGAACGTTTATATTGTTAATAGAAACTTGATGAGCCAATTAATCTGTGCATTTATTTGCCTTCCTAAAGATGTAATTAATAATGACCGTCTAGTTTCTCATAAAACATATACGTGCTTTCACGAGACAATGTGCAATTCAAAATTAATAGACTTTTATTACGATAAATTCTCTTGAAAGGATGTTGAATGTCATTCTCCCAAGTAAATATGGCTGCTATGAAGGGAAGGTTGGGTATGCTGCAATCAGAATGAGGCCCAAACATTGTGTGTGTGTGTGTGTGTGGAAAGCATTGTGCATGGTTATAATCTTGGTAATAAGGAAGTGGTTCTAGTAACTGATGATTAATGATCATGAAGTTCTGGCTAAATGTGTAAAGGAAAAAAAGGTGAATACTTGTACATGAGGGAGTCAAACAATTATATTGTTGAAGATGTTTTGAGCTTGTTTGGAGTGAATAGGAATGTTTCAGTGATGCTTGTTCCTTGATCACAAAACAAAACTACAGATTGAGTGGCAATGAGTGGCTTCAAAGGGAATGTGTCTCTGGAATTGGGTGGCAACATCCCCATTTCCTTTTGCTAAGTTGTTGTTGGATGATGGTCTGATAAGGCATGTTACTGATACTGGTTGTGGTGAAAGGAGTGTTGCTGGTTGGCGCGCGCGCGCGCGAGCGTGTGTATTTTGGTTTTGCTGCTGTATTGTGACTTTTAATTTGTATTTTTCTGTTTTTTTTTAAGTTGTGTTAACTTGTACTAGTAGGTTTTTTCTAAATATTTTTTTTTAATTTTGGCTATTGATGTTTGTAATCTTTTTTGGATATTAATAAAATTAACCTTGTTTTGGCTAAAAAAATTAATTTTTTAAACCAAATTTTAAGGGAAAAAATACTATTCAAACAACTATTCATCTACAATAACCATTCAAGGCATTTTGCAAACACAAAAATGATCTGTGTTGAAGAAAAAATTAGAATAATTTTTTTCATTTTTATCTTTACTTAAGAAAACATTGCCCATAAAATTAAGTGACCCACCGTTTTCTTCTCCATTTTTATCAAAGACATAATTGAAAAGTTGGGATAAAAGTTAACAAAAAATAATAATAATAATAACATAACAAATTTTTTTAAAACATATGAAAGGTGTCACAAACACCCTATGAATAACATTGAAAAGAATATGAAACTCTCTTTCAAATATTTAATGAGAGTATAAAATAAACATTTTAATAAATATATTATATTTTTTTCTTATAAATATAACTATAAAAACTCTCTCAAAATTCTCTTAAAAAATAGCTGAGGAAGTTTTTGAGAAATGGAACCGAATTTTAGCAGCCGGTCAGCGTCTCAAAGAGCCTCGATAACATAATCGATGCATTAAACACCGAGACGGAACCAAATGTTTTAATAATTAAAGAAGCGTGCTTTATCTTCTGACCTTTATCATATTCATATATTATATATGCATATAGTACTATATCTTCTCTCTCATTTTTAGTATAAGGTACATTTTAAAAAATTTTTTGTAGTATAATTTTTTTATTTTTTAATATAAGGTACTTAATGAAATATTAATTATATTTTTAATATTATTTTTATTTAAATTTATTAATTATGAGAGAGAATGTAATGTAAAATTAAAAATTTTTCATCTAGAAAAGGTAAAATTAGAAGTTTATTATATTTTTAAATGGTTAATAATTTAATCATATCTTCATAAATCTAATGAGATAATTAGAAGTGATTTATAATAAAAACTGAAGAGAGTGTGTGTATATATAGTTATATCCATATAAGGAATTACTCCTTCCGTCCTTATATATAAAGTGTTTTTTAGAAGTATATTTTATCCTTAAATATAAAATGTGTCATAATATTTTTAAATAATTAGACAATTTTACCCCTATTGTCTTGAAAAGGAAAGAGAATCATATATATTAACTACATGTTTTTCCCACTACAATAATATTAATTGTGATATCATTAGAATTAAAAAACTGTCGTGGTTTTATACACTTTCACCTAAATGATAAATTTTTATTGATATGGTCCGATTAACTTAAAATACCTCATCCATGTGTGTGTGTGTATATAAAATATAATATGAGGACAGACGGAGCAGGAAAGATTGGACTTTGGCAAGTTATCGACCACCAAGACATCCCACAACATCAACAGGTGTCCACCACATGCATGCAAGCATGTTAGTAGTATTTTACAATTTGCCAGTACAGCTAGTTTCTCATCATCACACAAGCAGACTGAACAATAAAAATAACTTAACAAAACAAAAAACAAAGAACGAACTTCTCAGCATTGTCTCCTAATTAAACATTGTTGTTGTTGTTTCCTAGGAAGCCAGAAAGTATAGTAGATCTTTATATTATAATACTGGAGGGCATTGAATTTGTTTTGACTTTCTGGTCGCATTCATTTCAAAGCCCCATTATTGTACCTTCATAACCCTTCATCCCCATAGAAAAAAACAAAAACAAAAAGCTTCATTCCCCACAGCCCCACTTCTCTCACATCATTCCATTTCCATAGCCTACCGTCTTCTTCTTCCTACACTTCTTTCAGCTTCTTCACCGATTCTCTTTCTATTTGCTGCAACCTATATGCGTGCCCATTTAAGAGCTAACAAAAATGGCTAAGTTGGTTAGTATCATGATTATCTGCCTTATTTTACTCAGTGTTGCAGAAGGCAGAGTCATCAGTCCAGATTCTGATTCTCACAGATCAGTTCATCATAGTCCTTCCCATCTAGCAGCATCACCTGTAAGTGGGTCACATATAAGTCTTATGGGTTATTTTGTTCAATTACGTATACTTAATTTGTGTTTGTATTGATTGTTGTGTCTCTTTGGAGACTGAAGCATAAGCTAATGCACAGTACCTGTTTGTGTTTTTGCCTGTGACTCTGTGTATGTCGGAACAGTCAAGGCTCAACGATGATGATGATGATCAGTACTGCAAAGGAATTGGCAGGGAAGACTGTTTGTTTAGGAAAACTATGGCTGCCCATGCGGATTATATCTATACACAAGATAAAAATGGACCATGAATTTGAACTTTACTGCTGTTATTTGCTTTTTTTATTTCTTTATGTTCTTAACCAGCATACTGTAAAGTGTAATCAATCTAGAATATTATAACATGAACAATTTTCAAATATGGGCCTTCTGCCTTCTCTTGTGCCTGCTAGTTATCATGCTGCTTTGTTGTTGTTGTTGTTGTTGTTGTTTTCTTTTCTTTTCTTTTTTTTAATATCATACTGGCAAATTGATAGGCGTCCTTAAGCTTGAAGTTGATGCCCATACTATATTTAAGTTGTTCACTTGCTAGAAACTGCTATCCTCCTCAAAATATCGGTATAAAGCCATTAAATTTAAGGTATAAATATCAAAACATTGACTTTTCACTGAAGATTCTTGTCTAGAATCAGTTTAAAAATCACGGAAAGTTGAGTTTCACATGTTTACGTATTTATTTATGATTGGTTGACTCAAACTCCATCTTTTATATTGAGTCTCCTTGATAATTCCACCCCTCTCTGTTGAGTTGATTCTGTGTTCTTGAGAAAGTCATTGTCTTGTATTGAAGTGTTGGACAGTAGTCTGAAAATGGTAGACATGATCAGAAATAATCACAAGCCCTCATCTCAGGGTCAAGAATGTGAAAGGAAGAAAAGGCAAAGAAAAGTGGGAAAGAAACTGATTTGCTTATCTGGTTTTGACTAATTTGAAATCCAAACGATATTTGCTGGCTGCAAATTTCCAACAACTCATTTAGTCATTTCTTTAGGCAAAAAGGATAAATGGGTAGGTGGATTTGGATCTGGGCATGATAAAGAGAACAGAAAAATTGAGTGTCCATAAGCATGAGACTGAGGAATCATGTGAAAGTGACAATCAAGAACGTGTGTGTGGTTGAGATACAACCAGCGGCTGGACTTTTAGATGTCATCCTCTTTGACAAAAGTGTATTTATTATCTTCTTTGACTAAATGTGCTGGGTTTTATTGCGTGATGAATTATCCAGAACCAATTTTGAAGTTAGTTTTGAAACATATTTGTGCAATCCCAACATATTCTATCTGATTAACTTTTAACTTTTCCACATTGAAAGGTGAATCATGCCATGCATATTTATTTGTCTTCAGAGAAAATGCTTACTTTATGTCTCTACAGAATATCCATATGCATGCATAATCCCTTACCAGTATACACCTCATAATGAAGTGTTTTTCTCTTCCTTATCTTCATGACAGATGAAAGAAATGATGCATTTAAAAAATATGTTTTCTAAGAGAAGCTCAGGATGGAAGATGAAGAGTGGAAATAGCCTAATCCTAAGATGAAGAAAGAGGGGGGAAAAACAGTGGAGTGCATACATGTCATTTTCAAGAGTGACTCATGCATGAGTCCTCCAAAAAGTTAAAATGAAATGTCATCATTGTGATTTATATTTTATGTTAAATAAATAAGCATCATATAATTGTTTGCCTAACATCACAGCAAAGTAAATTTTGGATTCCACTAGGTCCATCTAAGTAATAACAGCTGAGCACGATACAGAAAATCCGAAAAAGATTCATCAGCAAGATCTGGTTGAAGTAGGAAAATGAACAGGGGAGGCAGTTTCAAAGACAAACTTCTCATGAGATTTTGATGTCAAGTACAGCTTTGCCAATAACACTATTTTAAGAGTAGCTTTAGTTGGAACAACTTTTGCTGTTTCATTTCATTTGAATTTTCACTGATAATGCTTCTTACGTAGATTCTCTCTAGATATCTATCCAATATATAATATAAATTCATAGGAAGCAACATTATTCACAACTTATGAAGAGTGTAGTAATTCATTTCAAACTCTGTTCAAAATACTGGACCCACATTCTAGTTTTAAAAAACTAAGCAAACCAAATCACTGAAAGTTGAGTTGGACATGCTTATTTATGGTTTGTTTAGTCAAATCATATCTTTCTAAAATGAGATCTCAGAATTTTTCTTGGCGGTGGTTGTCTGACCTTGAGAAAGTCATTATCATTCATTGAAGTTTTGTGTAGTGATCTGAGAATGGTATACATGACCAGTCCGTGGATAATAACCACAAGTCCAAATAGGGTCAAGATTGTGATAGGAAGAAAAGGAGAAGAGAAGTGGGAAAGAAACTTCTCATTTTCTTATCTGATTTTGACTGGTGTTGTTTGCAAATTTTCCAAATAGTTCATCAGTGTCATTGCTTCAGAGAACAGGAACAAAAGGAAGGACGAATTTGGACAGGCACATGGTAAAGAGAACGGGAGAATTCAGGAAAGCATAAACATGAGACTTAATTATGAATATTTTGAAAGAGACCTTCAAGCTAAGTATGCTGTGTGGTTAAGATAAAACCAGTGTATGGTCTTATAAGTATTATCCTCTTTGACAAATTTGCATTTGTGATCCTCTTAATTTGACAGATGTGCTGGGTTCAATTGTTTGTTGAAGTTTTCATATTTCTCAAGCTAGTCATGATCTTGAATGAGATGAAAAATCAATTTTGATGGTTCTGTTTCTTCGTTTGTTTTTCAGGATACAGTATCCGATATCTGATACAATTTGGTCAAATTCAAGTAATGTCAGGCCCCAAATAGGGATAACTCTCCCAAAAGCATTTTTTACATTTACACCGACTTGAATCTAAAATCTTATATTTTACGTGTCATAGCCTCTTCCACTAGAAATAATGTCTTTTGGTGGTTGTGTTCCTTTTTTTTTTCAATTTTTTTTATCTAAACGTGTCAGTGCAATTCCAGCATGTTCCATGCCATCATCTTTTTAACTTGTTGCATGCACTGATTTTCATTCATTTATGTCACTTTCTTACCTAAAGCACATTTTGCAGTATTATAGAAAATAAAACCAGATGATGCTGACCTAGATCAACATGTATCATATTTGATCTGGACAACTTAAATTTAAATTTTCTTGTTTTTTATTTTGAAGGAAGTAAATGCATGGTGAATTTATGCTTCTCTCTCTTAAACATACGTTTGTTTATATTCGAATGAAGTATTTTGAAGGCCCTCATCCTTTGTTTTACATCTTTCAAAATTAATAATCAAAACAATACAAATATATAACTGAGATAATTAAAAAATTTTAAAAAATAAAATCTAAGCAGGGCAGAGTCATACCTTCAGAGAACCTTCTGAATGCTATGCAACATTGATATACCTCAATGTGAAGTCATTGTCACTTCTTTTTCTTATGAAATATAAAATGGAATGATGCATTAAAAAATATATTTTGTAAGAGATCCCAAGGAGTTAAGAAGTGAAAACACCTAATCATAAAAGAACAAAATAAAAATAAAATTCTATTCATGTCACTATCAAGAGTGACTCATGTATGAGTCCTCCAAAGTTAAAATGAAATGTGATCATTGTGGTTATATTTTATATTCAATGAGCATCAAGTAATAGTTTGCCTAACATAGCAGAAAAGTTAATTTTGGGTTCCACTTGATTCAACTAAACAATTACTGCTGAGCACAATACAGAATATCTAAACCAGATTCATCAGCAATCTCTGGTTAAAGCAGACAGACATGAACAGGGGAAAGCAATTTCACAAACTTTCTGATGAGATTTTGATGTCATGTACAGCTCTTCCAATAACACCATTTTAAGAGTAGTTTAAGTTTGAACAGTTTCTTCAGCTTTATTACATTTCATTTGCCTCAGAAAACTGTAATACACCTAAAAGAGAGAGATAGGCAGAAATAATAGAGAGAATGACATTAAAGTCCTAAAATAGGAAATTAATGACAGTTATATTCTTGACAAAGTTTTCTAAAAGTAAGCTGTAAATATTGATTTAGATAGTTACAAATAGGAATCTAAATTGTAAATTGAGGGTTACATTCAAAATTTAAATGTCTTATTTGAGATTGAAACTCTTAAATTTGCAACCATTTTTTGGATTTTTTTTTTGGTTACCCATAGGTATCCTCCTATTAAAAGTAATCATTTTTGAAGCATGGTCAGGCATTAAATGTGGGCATATCTCCTAATGAAAATTCAAATCTTATTTTGCCATGTTGTGAGGGACTATCCTCTTCTATTAGATTCAACCCCCCATTGGTATTTTTTCAGAAAATTTTATTAGAGATCTAACTGTCGTTAATTCCCCATTTTGGGACTTAATTGTCATTCTCCTGAAATAATAAGATTTCACTGGTTGCTCAGAAGATCGCACTGATTGATTGAAGAATAACTTTCTTTTCCTATGAGCATCAACGTCAATTAATTTGGCCTTAAAACTTATGTATTTCTACAGTACACATTTTCCATCTAGTGGAAATGACTGACTTTATTTAGCAGATAAGCCTTGTTGAATTCATTGAGCCTATGCAGAAGCAGATTTACTTGTAGTAGTGCAGCTTCTTTGACATTTTGGAAATTCAGATAATGATCTCAAGAAAAGATCAATGTCTTAAGAAATCTGTACTATTTCATCCTTAGATCAAAGTCTCCAAATTCTTCATACTTGGGTTGACATAGAGAGAAACTAGGAGGGAAGAGAATTAATTATTTATCTGCAGAATATTGGCATGCCAAACCTTATGTTCAACGTTGGAGAATTCTCATAAGATATGCATTTATCTTTCAAAAAGAAGCAAAGTCTTCCAATTGGAGGAAGCATATATGATTCAGCAACAGAAACAAGAGAAACTTCCTTGAACGTGTTGGGTTTTGAACTTTTTTTTTTTGGGACAAAGTTAGGCTGGCATTGTAATCCAATTTGACAATTCTCAAAAAAGGAAGAGAATTTTGATGCTCTTAAGGTTTTTGAAGATTACTTTTTGCAGCAACACAATCATGATGCTCCTTTCCACCTATATCAACCTATGTTTGTTTCTTGTCTGATCCATTTTTGCTCCCATACTTCAACACTAAAGCAAATTCTTTATGCAGATAATTCCTCTGCATGATTCTGAATGATTAAAAATTTTTTAAATGACAATTACCTTGAAGTCAAACCCACAACACATTTAAGTTGCCAATGGACTTGGTGATATTAAAATGTATCATGGGGGACTTGTGTGTAATTCTCCCATTTTTTTATTAGGAAGAAAAACATGCTGCTCTTGGTAGCTATTAAGATGATACAGTTAGATTCTTTGCATAAGACAAACTCATGACCCATTTACATATATGTTTGTTTAGGAGAAATCTATGTTCATGAATATAATATATTACAAACGCACACATTCATACATATATATTTAGACATAATTAACACCATATGAGTTTTGAAAACTCCATATTATGAGCCCTCTTATAATCCAATTTAACGAGAAAGATAAAAGTTTAGGAATGCTTTTCGTGTCCCCAGAAGACTAGAAAGGGAAAGACTGAGTTGTTTCAGAACATATAATTTTCATATGTCATATTCATAGAATTTGGATCTGCTGGAATTAAAAATCTGTGATTTCTTTAAGAATAGAAGAGATGAACTCAATGCAGGCTGATATTCGATATTTTATGATTCCTTTATTCTAGAGTTCCTTTCCAGATTTAACCCTTCAAAATATATAAATTATGTGCTTGTTAGAGTAACAATGGATAATATAAGTTTTATCTTTCAATTATCAATTTAGTTTTTCAAGAAACTATAAGAATTGAATTGTTTTGAGTCAATAAATTATAAGGATTGAGTTGTTCTGATTTAAAGTTGAGAGATTAAATTGATGATTAAGGAAAAATTCGGGCGCTAAAAGTTATATATTTTTTAAATAACAATTTGTATGATAAGGCACAAACACCAGCATTTGTCTTGTTGACTCTAGCTGCTATGAACACTCTTTGGTGCTTTCTTTTCAATTTCCTATGGGCAAAGACTTCTTTATCCTTTCCACTAGCATGCCTCATTTCTCAATGTTGTAAATAATGACACAACATGACACACCATGAAGTATATATACAATTTAATATTAAGTGGTTTTTAGAAGTTGAACCCGACTAATTTAAGTTGACTCAAACCAGGGGACACGAGTGTAATAGGTTTCTGGTTGTAATTTTCTTGGCACACCCTAACTCAATCATTACATAAAGGGAACAAACGCGGAAACAAGTTTCAAACATTTAAAAATATTACTTAAAATTAAAATGTCATACCACCTTCTATACAGTGTTAAAGGTTTATCTAACTCAACTTGATATTTACGGTAAAGGTAAAATACTATCGCTGTTTAAACATAAGATTTCAGGTTTAAATTTGTGTGAATGCAAAAAACATCATTGAAAGAGTTGCTTCTAATGGAGTCCAACAATGCTTGAACAACTGAGTTAGATAACCATATAAAAAAAGAGTATAAAATACTTTTAGACAAATTACATTTTTAATAAATTTAATTAAATACACCTTACAACCTTATATTTTTAAAATAAAAGTATAAATTTTTAAAAATGTTATTTATTTAATACTTCATCTATGAAATAATATTAAAGAAAGAGAATATAATAAGAAGGAAAATATTGAAAAATCATCATTAATGAAACTTTAGTCTTATCCAAATATTTTATATTTTAAGATATTAAATCTTTCCAAAAATATCTTATGAATCAGACGAAGGAGTCTTATTTTTGTTGCAGTGTTCAATTTGCATTATGTGATTTCGTCACTGCCAAAAGTTGGAGGACTGTGAAAATGATGCAAATGCCACTATCAGTGGGTTTGGTTTCATGTTGACATTAAAAGAATGCAAACACAACGCACTTACATAAATCATATGCGGCGAAAAGCTGCACACAATGAACAGTTATTTTTTGTGCCATTAAGTTGTAAACATAACCAAAATTTGATGGTTTCACTGAGAGACCCAGAAATTACAAAGAAAAAAGATCAGGGAAAGCAGAACACGTACATGGAGCTGTTATTGGATAACCTATTTGTAAAACTCATTCAGCCCAAAACAGTTCAGAAACAGAGTGATACTGATACAGATCATCATCATAGACACGACATAGAAACAAAATACGAAATTTTGATGCATTTTTGTCTCTGTGGTTGTTCATGTTAACGTTCCTAGAAATCTGAGAAGTCATCAAAATCCGCGAGGGTGTTGGCAAAAGGAGAGCCAATCTGCAAATCTGCGACCATTTGGCGAAGATCAGAAGCTTCTTCTCTTAGCTTAGCATTCTCCTGAAGAACCCTATCATGGGACTCAGACACGTGGTTGAGTCTATGAACAAGGTTATGGTTCTCTGTCCTGAGCCTGACAACCTGCGACCAAAGCTCGTCTATGTGTCTCTGTTTCCTCATCCTCGACCTTCGAGCTGACTCTCTGTTGGATATCATTCGTCTCTGCTTCCTCTCATCGATCATGCTTGTCTGCTTCTCCTCAGCTTCATCGGAGGTTGAAGAAGAAGGAACAAGATTATTATTAAGCTCACTCAGCAGAAGATGATGATGATGGGTGGACCCAAGGAGGCTGGTGATGTCGAAGTTTGAGAAAAGGTTGTTGGGAAGAAAAGTGGTGATGTTTTGTGGGGTTAAGAATGGGTTGTCTGATGTTCCTCTGATCTTAGTAGGGATCATGGCTGCAAAATTTACAGGAAGATGATAAATGATATCTGAATGTTAAAGAAGGATGATTTACTGGAAGTATTTGTGAAGCCTGAGGGAATGATGATGGGAGATTGGTGCGGCGTGAATTGGGAGGGATTTATAGGAGCTTGATGGCTCAAATTCGGTGCTAATCAGTACGCGTGCTTATCAACCCAGGGGCTGATGTGCCCATCAATTTACTTCAAAATAATCTCTGCTGTTAATTATAAATTAATTTTTAAATATTTTTAATATTATATTTATTAAAAAAAAGTTTATAAGAATTATTAAAAAAATAATATTAAGTTTATACTATCCATAATATATCTAGGTAGTTAATTTATAAAAATTATAAATATTTTATTATTAAATTAGATTATTCAAATTATATTTGTACTTCCTAAAATACATTTAAATAGTCAATTTAAAAAATTAAAAAATTTTAATATTAAATTAGTCAATCCAAACAAAATTTGTACTGGCCAAATTGATAGTGAACAAATTTATTAAAAAATTTAGATTTGATAAAAATAAAAAGCTTTAAGTTTGAACAATTCAAATGTTATGATGATGAGTAATAAACTAGTAATTCAATACTAAATTTTTTATAATTTTTATTTTAATAAATATAATATTAAAAATGCCTAAAAATTATTTAAAATGAATGGTATAAATTGTTTTGAAATAAATTGAAGTATCCTGATTATCTCTTGGCCTGATGAGCACATGGAATGATAAGCACTGAATGCAATTGCACTCAAAAAAATGGAAATGTTTGCAAGAGAGTTTGATTTTTTTTTTAGGAAACAATCATGTTCGAAATAAAATTGAGTATTAAATGTGGTTACTTCTTTCAATGAAATTCAAACTTTTTTATTTTGACATAGCTTGATGGCTAAAAAAAGTTAGGCCTAATGGAACATACTAATTTCTTATAAAGTGGCAAACAAAAGTTCAAATCTTCACAAGGAGAGAGATGTTTATATTTAGTGCCTGACCATGATTTAAATAGGATTATTTCTATTAAAAGAATAAATGTAAACAACAAAAAATTTTATAAATTCAAGTATTCTTATTGGATCTAATTGGATTGCTCAGGTTCTTTTTTCATATAATTGTTTAGTGTCTAGTATTTTTTTAAATGCAAGTTCAATTACTATCTTGTCAAATTCAAGTGTTATCTATATGTACTCAATTACGAGTAGCTCTTGTGTATCCAGTACTCAATTTTGGGTTGAGTTGAATGTAATTTTTTCATACATAATATTTAAATCATCAGTCTAACTTAAGGCTTTGTTTGGAATGTGAACAAAATAGAGATGATAAAAAAATATTAAAAATTATACCCAAAAAAAAGACATTTTTTCCTTATTTTATATTCATTCGCCTAAGAAATAAATAGAAAATTTATAATAAGTCTCATACTTGGATAACCTACATGAAATGCGCAATGTAAAATAGTATAAGTGTGGTGGGAAAACCCAAGTGGGGTTGAAATTAAAGAAAGCGTCCAATTATTGCAGAGACGAAGCAAATAGAAGCAGATGCATGAGAAAAGCGGAGTTAAAGACAATTGGTGAAGAGTTATTTATTTATTTTTGAAAAAATCACAATTAAAGACCAGTGAAGATTAGTAATATAACAAACATAAAATGTTGAAATTAAATTTTAGGACCATAGTCTTTTTTGCAATTTAAAAAATAATGTTTTGACTCGAATACCTCCATCTGAAATGCACATTTAGTCACTTACTTTTAGGGATATTTTAGTCATAATAATAATTTGTAAACTTTAGAAAGGATCTTGGTATTTAAATTCAATTTTAAGATTTCACATGGTCCTCAATAGTTATTATTAATTTTACAAGTTCTTGTTTGTAATTTTCCTTTATTTTTCTGTGAAGACATATCCAAAGAAGCAATTTTGAGAATTTGAAACTCTTGAAGCCAATAAATTAACAATCCCCTGGTGAGAGATACGCAATGAAGTAGAGTTTAAAAGGTATGTGAGAATTGGACTTGCAATTATAATTATAATTATAATTATAATTATAATTATAATAATATTATTTTTTAATGTTTGATACCTTTTGCAATTATGATGAGTCATGTGCCACTCACTTAAATATTACATGGAATATGGATTAGAGGGACCATTAATTTAAGCACCATTAATTGATCAAGTTGTTAACATCTTGTACCTAAATCTTTGCCCATTTTTATTATTTAACTATTCATAGTTCAATTATGCTTACTCACTGATTTTGAACATCTCTACTACTTGAACACCGTGTTTGTTTTTTTAAATACAAGATCACGGTAAAAATCATATAAAATAATTAATAAAAGATCATGTCTAATCAAATAACAAGATTCATATACCTTGTGAGTGGGTCGTTAAAGACAGCATCCTAACTATATAATGATTGGCCTGATGAGCAAGTTAATCAATATAGTAAGTTTTCTCTCTAAAAATGTGATCTAGCTACTGATATAATCCAATCATGGATGATAAAATTCCTAATTCTATTGATCATAGGATTGAAGAGAGGATGGTTCCAAGATACATTGAGATTTCCTCGTGATGAGTGAGTAAATTGTGGTTGTCAAGGTGCTAAGTTAGTGGACAACGTGTTTATTATTATTATTATTAGGGGGAAAACCCAGCCAATAACACTTAAATATAAATAATAAAAGAGCTACCACATATTTCGATCTAACAATAATCAATGGTATAAAAATATTGCTTGATCATTGGTTTACATTTAATTTTTATAATTTTGACTCAGTTATAATAATTTAATCCCTAAATTTTAACTCATTATAATTTAGTCCTTTAAGTTTTGACTTAGTTATAAATTAATTTTTAAATTTTAACTTTACAATTTAGTCCCTATAGTTTAACCACTTAAATATTGGTTCCTAGATTTTAAAAAATAAAATTATAAAATTAAAATTATTTTAATATTTACTACTAATATTTCAGATTACTACACCATTTTAATCTTTATAAATATTAAAATTTTAAAATATTTTTAATAATTTTAATTTTAATTTTAAAATATAGAGATTAATATTTAAAATTATATGGACTAAATTGTAAGAGAAAAAATTTAAAAACTGAGTTACAATCAAATTTAAACTGTAAGGACTAAGACATAACGAGTCAAAATTTAAGAATTAAATTACAACTGAGTTAAAAAAAAAGGGATCAATAATTAACTTTTCCTTAGTTTATTCTCCATTAAGAGACTGTATTAAATCAGGGTATATTTGGAACGTTAAGAATATATATATTTTTGGGTAAACATAAGGGGTTTGTTCTGCCAAAAATAGAGAATATCTCGCTAAAATATATTGGAGGGCAAATGATAGACGTAGGACCTCTTCTAACTAAATGTTAAAGTTAAAAATATTTGATGGACATTAACTAATTACATTATTTTGTATGAGTTTTTTTAATTTTTTTTTGGTAGCCATAAATATTTGAACGATAAAGTTTACGTTATTTCCTTAAACCAAAATAATTTGGTGGCAGAAATGGATAAGTTTGATTCATTGGCGAATAGATTCAATGAACTTTATAAGTTATTCAATCGAATATATATATATATATATATATATATGTATGTATGTATGTATGTAGAGTTAGACGAAATGAAATAAAGTATACCATTATGAAAAGTGCAACAACTGATGTGGCAGAACACAACCACAAAATCTAAAACCATCCTATTGAACCTCGTTTTTGTGTGGTTGAATAAATTATTCTGACCACCTCATATTTTATCTAAAATATAAAGGTCTCTTCTTCTTCTTGTTTTTTTAAGATTCTAAAATAAAAAACGTTTATTAGTTAATTTTATATAAATAGTGTCTTATTTATCAATGGCTAAATGAGCAAATTACATTTTAAATTTTATGTCTAATAGTATTATATATCCTGAACTCATTTATTTTATAAATTATTTTCTCAATTTTTAAAAACGGTGCAATTTAGCTTCTACTATTAACAAAAGTTAACTCTGGTAATTAATTAATTAAAAAATAACAGAAAATGATATAAAACATTACAGAAAAGGATAAAAAATTTCCCTTTTCTATAATTTTTTGGATCTTTTCCTGTATTTTTTAATCTTTATTATAATTTGTTGTCATTTTCTGGAATTTTTAATGTTATTTTCTGATTAACTAATTAATGATCAAAGTTAATTTTTGTTAACAATATAGGTCAAATTGCACCCTTTTTTAAAGTTGAGGGAATAATTTACACAAAAAATGAGTTTCATGTCTATAATACTATTGAATTTAAAGTTAGAGTGTAATTTATTCATTTACCCTTTATTAATCTATCCCTCGCTACTATAATCGATCCCTAATTCATGATGTAATCTGAATGGCTATACAAGTTTGTGTATGTATTTAAAATATAATAAAAGAGAAGTCTATGTAATTAATTAAGAATATAGAGAAGGTCGATATAATTTTTTATTCTTTAATTTCTATAAGTATATATGCCCACTATATTTTTCCACAGATCCTCTCTAATAATCTACCAGCTGCTGGAATAATAGTTGTACTTTAAACCCATTCTATGGATTGCTTTTAACATGGTTTTTCCCATTCCCTTTGATATACTATATATAGAGAGTGTGTGTGTGATCTTTTTAACCAAATCAGAAGAATTAAAAAATAGTTAAATTAGTTATTAGAAATAGATGTGCCAATAATTTGGACTCCCTCTCCCTCCTATCCAAAATATAGAACAATTTTAAATACTTCACAAAGATTAAAAAAAAAGTAGTTAAAAGTGATTTATACCATTAAAATGATAAAAAGTTGTCACTACTAAAAAAATTACCCTATGATATTAAAACTAACCTATCTTAATTACCCTTAACATTTATTTTTTATATAATCTCTCCCTACAATACAATTAATAAAGATATTTGTGAAAAAATTAATATTATTGACTTTTTATAAAGGTTCTTACATTTAATTTGGATTAACACACACTATATGATAGAAAATGTCTTCTATGTACATTTGGTTCAAAGAGAATGCTACTTT